TCACTCAACACGTCTATGTGTCCGGCATTCATGTTATGTTTCCCGGCGTCTGTGCCGGAGAACATGGCGTTGCGCCCATTGAAGTATCGGCTCAATCGGAGTGACCTGAAAATGAGGCCGCCACTCTGTGTTATGCAGTCCAACATAGATCCTTGATGAATTCGATGTACACGTGGAAAGTTAGGTTGCTACCATGGTCACCAGTCAGCGAAGAATGCAAAAGCGACCCCGAGTCCATGACGTATACCGCGCGCAGCTTGAAAATATTGGATCCGATTCAGTTACGCAACCTCTACATGGTTTGCGTTTGGCTAGCTGTGTTGACTGGACTAGAGTGGAGTCGCCAGGTGCAAGCTAGTGGAGGCTTATGTCCTTCTTAGGTAGCGGCAGATGTACAGACTCGCATGTTGCTTGTTTTTTTTAGAAAATCTGAGAACTGCGATGAACCAATCCACCGTCGCCCGGTATATCGTTTGCGATCCGCAGAAATACGGGAAGCTCGCCGCCGTTCAAGACGCTGGTCCGGCCGAACTGATGGGGGGTCTGGCATGGGACTGCATCCACATCAACCAGAACGGCTTTGCCTACGCTCGAACGGAGGGGGGTTCACGGCCCTCGTGGACGATGCTACGTTCTTCCATCCCATCTTCAAGGAGGACGGGGAGGAGGAAACGGACTTGGAGAAGACTCTCAAAAAGATTATCGCCACGCAACACCTTGAGGTGATGTTTGAATGTTTGCCTCACTGCGTGTGCAGAGGCAGACTCGAGGTTGGGTGTGCGTTATCGGCGTCGTTCAGCAATGACTTGACGCTGATGTTAGAATCCTNTCACATCACCAAGCGCGAAGCGCCGTGAGATATTCGGCGAGTCGCATGAAGGGTGCGCTGCATCCTGCTAAGGGTGTTCGGCATCTTGTGCTTACTTCCTTGCGTACGGAACAAACTATGCCGCATCTCGGGCCGGCCTAGGCTGTTTGCACGTAGTACCTGGCCTATATAGCGAAGGTTGATGAAGTGGGGAACATCGCTCAGCGGGGGGATCTTGAACGTCGAGTCTTCTTCGAACACGTATCGACACATACTGACAGTGCCGAGAATGCACACCCGGATGTCGGTCCACGAGTGGTCGGTGATGAAGTGCGCCTTCCAGGCGCCGTCGCCCAGCGTCGGTCTAGCCTCCAGCGAGGCCCGCCACTCGTCGAACAACAGCAGGATGTCCATGACTTCTTCTAGTTTCGAGTCGTCGGCCGATCTGATGTAGCTCACCATCTTGTCTAGACCGTTCTTGCGCGCGTAGTCCGACCGGCCGAAGTTCCCTGCATGTATACGCACACACACAAACACGCACACATTTCCCATGGGGGCAGAGGGTCTGTCGGGTGAGAAGGCGAGATATGGCGCGCACGGAGAGAACGCAATGGTCATGGGCACAGGGAATCTAGGAAACTAGTAGGCGGGCGATAGGCCCCTTCACGTACTGTACCGCGACGGGAAGAAGCAGTATGACTTGAGATTAAAAGAATATTTATTACTTGCCTGAAAATGTCGACGAAGGCGTCCATCCTCGACGCGAGTGCCGCTTAGCTCTCCAATTGCAAGTCGGGGGGTTTTCCCTCGGTCAAGCGGTCGTGCTGGATCTGCTCGATGATACGTACCATCGTCCCTGATAGCACCTAGACTATATTATGACGGACGCCATAATAAACGGGTCGGACAAGAGGTGGATCGGGACTGCGTGCGCCCCTCTCGGCGTCGTTTACGTGTACACGATCATCTAACGCAACGCAGACTAGACCAGAGTATTCAAGAACGCGACATCTGTAAACCGCGTCGATACCGATGCCGAATGACTCGAATGTAGGGGGAGGCATACACGCACTACGCAACACGCACGTTAAGGTTTACCGTCCACAAGAGCACATTGGTTTACGAGTGCGTTCCTAGAGTGGTCTGTCACCTTCCAAGACATGCCCATCTTCATGCAGTTCCAGCTGTTCCTGTTGAAGCAAGACGGCACGATCTTGCTGGCGATTGGGATGGATGCTACGGTCTCCTCGAGTGTAAGGCTGTCGCCGTCGTTCTCGAGACGCCGATACTCCTTCGCGCCAGTCTCCAGGGAGGACTTGACAAGCTCCTCCTTGCCCCGTCGGTGCATACCATGGCCAGTTCATACCGCTTACCCGTGAGGTCACTGTGCCAGAGGGTGTTTGCGATCTTCTTCACGAGATGTGGAGGATCGCTGACATTGAACATCGGGCCGAGGTGGACAGAATGACGAAGGGCGACCGGGAAGTTGGAGAAGGACTCCTCGTCATCGCCTTGTGCGAAAGCGCTGAACTCGACCGTAGCGGCTCGCAGCTGAAAGGAGCGCCTACACAGCGCACGATTTGCAAAGAGCGATGGAGAAAAGGCAAATGCGCACAGGGAGGGAGGGGCCGCATCAGTTGGATTGGAGGGTGGTGGGAAGGGCGAGATGTTTCGGAGGGCGAGGGCTTGATGCCGCTCTCGCACGTAATTGGGCCCAAATTTATAGAGTGCGCGTTGGAAGCCTTTGCCCATCCCGAGGTATGCGGCAGGCGGAGTGTTGCGCGAAGCAACAATCCATACACCTGCCAGACAGCACGGACTGCTGACACAAGTTAGCGTGGACCTACTGTTCACTCGCTCCGTCGCACACCAGGTAGACGACGTCGAAACCCTTGTTGGGGTGAGCGGAAGTCAGCTCGCGCGCAACCGGCATCACCATTCGCTGGATGTATTCAGTGTTGAGAGACCTGACGGACTCGCGCCAAACGGCAACGTTTTACACTGGCTTGGCCAAGCTGATGAAGAACATCTATAGTTTTGGACCGGGGATGGGTTAAGGAGGGAAAAAAAAGCGGACAGTGTAACAGGGGAGTAGAGGGGATACGGTCGATGGTCCCTCCATGTGAATCTGAGGGTGCTGACGGGGCTTTGAGGGGAACACAAACCTCGATGTCCGTGCCGCGCGTTTCACGCCACGGAACATCCCCCCCCAACCCCCCCCCGAGCAAGTGGTGATGGCGAGGATTCTAACATCAGCGTCAAGCCATTGCTGAACGACGCCGATAACGCACACCCAACCTCGAGTCTGCCTCTGCACACGTAGTGAAGTAAATATTCAAACATCACCTCAAGGTGTTGCGTGGCGATGATCTTCTTGAGAGTCTTCTCCAAGTCCGTTTCCTCCTCCCCGTCCTCCTTGTAGATGGGATGGAAGAACGTAGCATCGTCCACGAGGGCCGTGAACCCCCTCCGTTCGAGCGTAGGCGAAGCCGTTCTGGTTGATGTGGATGCAGTCCCATGCCAGACCCCCCATCAGTTCGGCCGGACCAGCGTCCTGAACGGCGGCGAGCTTCCCGTATTTCTGCGGATCGCAAACGATATACCGGGCGACGGTGGATTGGTTCAGCGCAGTTCCACCTGCTGGTAGATTCAGCATCTTTTAAGACCCTCGGTCTCAGATTTTCTAAAAAAAACAAGTACCATGCGAGTCTGTACATCTGCCGCTACCTAAGAAAGAAGGTAGAGGTTGCGTAACTGAATCGAACCCAATATTTTCAAGCTGCGCGCGGTAAACGTCATGGACTCGGGGTCGCTTCTGCATTCTTCGCTGACTGGTGACCATGTTAGCAACCTAACTTTCCACGTGTACATCGAATTTACCAAGGATCTATGTTGGACTGCATAACACAGAGTGGCGGCCTCATTTTCAGGTCACTCCGATTGAGCCGATACTTCAATGGGCGCAACGCCATGTTCTCCGGCACAGACGCCGGGAAACATAACATGAAACAAAAATTCACACAAAAAATAAAACAAAGGTCGATCCCGATCCTCTCCGCTACTGTAACCGCCAGACCACAAGACAACCGGCTTCGAAGGTGGTCATGGCCATCGACGTGGACCCGAGCATATTACCTGGATGTTATCCACCAGCACGCCGCTGCCTGGGGGGACCGCCTTTTCTCGCAGATGCCTAATGTGCGAAGGGAAGGGCAGATGCAGCACTTCCCTCAGCGCGTTGTACGCGGCCGTGCCTGCAACCCCGCTGTAGTAGATGCAGAACCTCAACGTCGACTCGTGGAAGCGGTACCCTCTCCCGTTGCCCTTGGCCAGGTTCCCTTGGATGAGATCCTACGGGGAAGGGGGACGGCGCAGAGATCGTTGCAGTTTGTCTGCGCGGATGAGGTTGGAGTCAGTGACGGGCGGAAAGCATAGACGAGTCAGCACAAGGGTTACCTTGACGATTAGGCGCAGCAGCTGGGTCCCACATGTCTAACCTGAAACCATACGCAGGGTGCCTAGAGGGCGGCGTGGATCGGCCAAACTCGGGGAAAACAAACAAAAGCGAAGGAAACAAACAAACAGCACCAACCTACGTTCAGGAGAGTCCTCTCGTCGCTTTCCGCCGGGAGCTTCTTGTCGAGCAGCGTCCTCGTCGAGTCAGCGATGAGAAATTTGTGGATAGCGTCCCCTTGGTCATCCGGAAACTCCCTACACTCCTCCAGATACTTCATCGTTTTCTGCTCCAACCGCTGTTGTTTCTCTTGCGTCGCCTTCAAGTCTGCCGCCGACTCCAGAATCCTCGTTTTCTGTAGGATAGCGATGTCGTGAGGGAGCACATAATAACTGTGCACGGTACACGGTGCACAAGAGAAAAGCAAATAGACCATCTTACACCCCCCCCCCCCCCCCCCCCCCCCCCCCCCCCCCCCCC